AAACACTATTTTACAACTTTCCTCCTAACAGCAGAGCCCAAACACAATTTCAGGGTCACAGATCCATCCTTACCTCAGAGATAGGATCATTGCAGTCAACTTCGGCCAACATGGTAGCAGCCTTCTCTGGTGAGGAAATATTAGTGAAAAGTATCCTTAACGATTGATGCAATTTCAATAAATTTCTGAGCCACGCATTACCTCCGAAAATTTAATTGCATCGTTTTATCATTGATCAATCAGGTCAGATTAGCCTTATATGCACGAGAAATGTGAAAGAATGACTGTAAGTGTTTAAGGTACCATGTGTGCTTCAACACTTGTAAATTTCCGATAATCAAACATTACACATCGAAATTTTTCTTCTTGAAATGTTTCTTTTTCAACATTTATGTTGCCTTGACAACTTGTAATAAATTATAATATTATTAATGTTGATTCCGAAAAGCAAAACGATCCAATCGTTTATCATGATAAGAATATTGTAATAAATACCTAGAGACACGACAAGTTCTGCTCCATGTCTTGATTTTAACAAGAGGAAAATGAAAAAGAACTTCCTCTTTTGCCTCATCAAAATGGGGGAATGGCACTTTTTGTGAAACACATATAAATGGTTTGAGGGAAGAGAAAAATCGACTGAGGAAGTAGAAACCCATTTAGAGGCTTCGGGAGTGGCTGAGGATTGGCATAAAAGACAAAAACAAGAGTTATTGGATAGAATTAAGCATTTAGAAGAGGAAAATAAGCAATTAAAAGAGTTAACTCCCCATAAATTCGAATTTTATAATTTTAAAAATTGGGCTAGAATTAATAAAAGAAATCAATGATTTAAAATTTCAATTAACCCAATTACAACAGCAAAATGGTCAATTAGTTGCTCAAATTGAAGTTAAGGAGACTAAAAGATGATCTTGATTGAAAATAAAAGGTAATTAAAAAAATTAACAAAGTTGAAAAAAAGTAATTATATGGTTTATCAAGTTATTCTGTCATTTTTCTTTTTTTTCTTGATTCTTTACTAGAATTCTCTAATATTCTTTTGAAAACTCTTTCCTCTTTGATAAATTTCATAGGTAATCCTTTCTTTGTTTAAATATGTTTGCAAAGATTTGATATATGCTAATTTAAAAATGTAAGGAGCAATTTTTTCACCTTGTTCTTTCTTCAAAATACTTCTGATAGTACTATAATTCTTGGGTTCCATTGTAGATCTAATGTAAATTAATTTCATACATATTAACTAATTTTGTCTAGACAAATATCATGATCACATTATATTGATAATACAATTAATTGTGATGTTAGACATTATTTGATCCCCTGAAATTCTTGGTAATACCAATGTTTCACTTTGTTGCAGTGTGCCACATATGACCTCATAACAAGGGTTCGCATATGGTGATTATTATTATTATACTAATACTAATACGATCGATGATTAGAACTTTGGAAATTTCCATGTTTAGAAAAATTTAGAAGTTTATATGATTGTGGCGTCGAAACAGTTTTGTTTTGTGGCGTTATAAAAATAATCGCAACTTTGTGTGCGACTTTTTTTTTTTTTTGAAAAATTTTTTCAAATTTTTTTAAAAAAAAGCATGGTAATGGTAAGCTTTGAAGAATGAAGTAAAAAATTATAGAAACAATTAAAAGCAAATTTTTACGTGTATATAATAATTATTAACCAAATTATTTTTTTTTAATATTATAAAAAAAATCAAGGCCCAAGAAACAAATGGTTCTGAACAATTTATTAAATCAATGGATTCTTTCAATAGTATTTCTTCTTCCGATACAAACAAAATTAATGATAATAAGCAAGAAACGAATGATTCAAATATTGAACAAGATAATGATAGGTAAGGCTTTGCTAAGTTTTTTGATTATTTTTTGATTATAGTAACCGATCAATCAATCAATTGATTGATGGATTTATTGATTTATCGATTTACTTATAATATATTAGTGAAAATGTAGAGGTAGATGAATTTGGTAGAATGCTGAGGAGAAGATCTGCTATCAGTAATAATAGTAGTAGTAAGAAAAAAAAAATTGGAGAAGTTTCTTGTAATCATATTATTGATAATAAGGATGATAACAATGATGATGATGATTGTAATTATGAAAAAAGACATTCAAATTACGATCATAAATTATCATTATCATCAAGGAAAAAAAGTAGGAGTAGAAGCAGTAGTAATAGTAGTATTAGACGAAGAAAAAGGAAACGAAATAATAATTTATCATCATCATTGTCCACAACATTAAACAACAACAATGATGATGATGACGATGACGATAGTTCATCTAGACAAAGAAATACTAGTGATGATTCTTTGTATCGTTCATCAAATAGTAACCGATATAATGATAATGAATCTCATCATCATCATCACCATGGTAGTAGTAATAGATATCATCGTCATTATGATCGATATGTTCCGTCAAGAAAAAGTTCTTATTACCGACATTCAGATAGTGATGATGCTGATAATTTTTATCGTGGCAGCTATCAGGAAGAAAATAATGATAGCGGAGATGTTGATTACTATAAAGAGGGTTTTGGCAATGGTGGCGGTGGTATACATAAAAGAATTAGTCGTATTGACAATAGTAATAATGATATTAATGATAATAATGATATTGGTAATAATGATAATAATAATAGCGAAAGTAGAAAACGCAGTAGTACTAGAACATGGTCAAGAAGATCTTCAGATAGTGAGGATGATTACAAAAGATGCAGGAGAAGACACCATAATGGATTCGAAGAAAGAAGATCTGGTAATCATCATAACTGTCACAGTTATAGTCAAGAAGATTTTTACCTGACAGGTGGTAAAGGTATTGCTGACTCGGAATTCTATATGACAAAAATATACGTTGGTGATCTTCGAGATGTTACTGAACGTGAATTACATGGCGCTTTTGAAAAATTTGGCGAAATCAAAAAAGTTGATATGTTGCCTGGGAAAGGGTAGGCTAATTGAATTGCGTTTTTATAATATCATTATTACAAAAATAATATTATAATAAATACAATTTCTTTATATATATAGTATCGCATTTATCGATTTTGATACCGAAAAAGGTGCCACAGAAGCACGTCGTCGAATGAATGGTTGTTTGTTGGGATCAGGATATATAACTGGTACACGCATTTGACGAATTGGTCAACTAGTTATATATATATGATTAATTGTATAGTTAATGTTAAAATATTTTCTTAATAACAATAATATAAAAGTAAATCGAGCAATAAGACCTGAAAAAAGTATCAATGGATATGGTCCTTGGAATGATGCAGGTTATTATTATTATAGATTCGTTAGTTTACAAAATAAAAGTAATAATATACTTACTATTTCAGATGCGATTGTTACCAAACAAAATGCAGATAAACCAATTCGATATAATGCACAAAATCAAAATACTTATAATATTTCTAAATTAAACAGTAATTTACTATAAAGAATTATTTGTATACAATATTAATATTTGTTTTATTATATGATTTATTTATTCAAATTTTTTTTTAGAATCTTTTAATCCTTCACCGACATCAATTCCGTCATCTACACCAACTAATCTTGTAATGGACCCAAGATCTAAACGTAAAATAATAGCATACGACGATCTCTAATTAAAAGAGTAACAAAATATTATATTTTATAATATTATGTTGGAGATATAATATAATCTAATTTCTATTATTATTATTATTATTATTATTACATTAGGTTTCAATTATTATTATTATTAGAATTTAAAAAAAAATAAGGTAAATGAAAATCAAAAAAACAATATATCATTATAAATATAATATACAAAATTAGAATAAATTATTTAAATAAAATTTGTAAATTATAATTATAAATAAATATATTAGAATATAAATATTTTCCTCTATTTTATAAAAATTTTTTGGCAATGAATTTAACTTTAGTATCAAATGGAACAGATGTTATTGTTGAATTAACTTCATAAAACGGATTCATTAATATCTTTATTAACATAATACTAATCAGATAAATCAATAATATTAAATATTCTCTCAAATAATAGAATATTATGACCTCTTACCTTTATATAAAGTTCATAGGCTTCATTAAAAAAATTTCTAATTCCATCTTCATTTTTAGTTTCATGTAACAACATGAATTTTATATCTTTTTTTTTTTTAAAAAAAAATAGATTTTTTAATTGATGATTCTCAAATCATTAATCCATTAATCACTAATTAAATAAATGAATAAATAGATAATTCTTACTTCCAGCTGAAATCATTGAAGAAATGTGCCACTCATTAAATTTATCAATTGATTTCAAATACCTTCAATATAATATCAACAGTATTGAATTAATGATTCTAAACAATATTAATATATAAATTCAATTATAAAAAACTAATTAGAGCATGAGAAAAGTTAGTTACATTGCATTAGTATTCCATTGCATTTCTTCAACTAAATCCAAAGCAGAATGTACAATAAACTGATTAAGATGTCTATTTTCATCTTTCTAACTCAATTAAAAAATCAGATAAATCTTTTTTTATTCCCTCTACTTTTTTAATTAATCAAATACTCTTCGTTATTATTTAATTATTATTTATACCTTTGAATTAGGATCACCGCCACCTGCACCACCACCTGCGCCACTTCCACCACTACTAGACAATGACTTTACCATACTTGAAGCTCCTCCAAGTTCAAGTTCATAAATTGGATTATCTTTTGTACCAACTATTGCAAAATAATATGACATTACGAAAATTGAAAAAATTGAAAATCGAAAAAAACTTGATTTTTATTGGCCAAAAATTATGTGCTACCCAAATATACTGATCCGTTCTTTATTTGATTGGATAAAAAATGGGACTATCGTTCTGAAAAGGGTAATGAGGTTTTTAGTGCAACCGAGGTAGGTGGGCATCAGATAACGAAGAACTGATTTTATTCCTTAATTCCTATATAATTTTTTTTTTTTTTTGGTTAATGGCTGAACAAAAAACTGAAGAAGAAGTTACCGAATTATTTCGCGAAGATTTTGCTGGTAAAAAAAAATTTTTTTTAAATTTCGTCTTCGTTACGGCAGACATTTTAATAATACTATTTTATGATTAAGGTCCAACATGCTTATACGTCTGGTTACTTTATAAAAGACCTGTACGTTTTAAATATATACAACGTTTCCTTGGTTTTCTAAAATATTGTAAAAGTGATTAAAATCTTTTTTACCTTTCATGATCATAATTTCAAAGATGAGATTTCTTAGAAGGAATCTATCATACATTAACAAATCCAAACGATTATATACTCAAAAAAAAAAAGTCATTCTAAAAAATAAAAAAAATTTGCTTATTGAATGGCTCTCTCAAAGAGAAACCGAAGAATCGTTAGTGTCTACGAGGTATTTATTATTATTATTATCTTTTTTTTAAAATAAAATATTATTGTTTATATATCTAATTATTATTTATATATGATTTTTTTTGGTTTGATTGATAAAGCCGAAGTGAAAAATCTCTATATTTAAATTCTGAAAAAATTTGTTTTTTTGGTAACATTGGATTTTTTTATCTCTAAAATAGAAAATCATTAAATTCATTAATTACTAACAGATTTTACCCTTAATAGCCTCCGATCCAAGTGACATTGATATAAATCTTCAAATTGAATGTGAGGTCATTGTATACAAAATTAAAAAGGTATATTTATTATGTAATCTTTATATAAAAATTTTCAATTAGAAAAGTATTATTGATTTATTTCAAATAATAATAAATATATCTTAGCAACAATTGACAACATCTACAACATCGACAGCATTGATAACAAATAGAAAGCGTCCAACTACTGTTGCTAATTCTCAAGTGTTGAAAATACTTAAACAAACAAAATTTCCATTAAAACCAGGGCCTGAATGTTATTTTGCCGATGACATATCACCAATAGAACTTTTTGCAATAAGTCACGATCAATCTGACAAATCCAATATTACGTCACTACAATCATATGATATTGTGTTACACTTTCATATTTATTGCACTAACTCCAAACTATGGCCACCAGTGAATTCTTCAATAGAATATTCACGTGTGCTCAATTGTACGACTCCATTAAACTTAATAAATAATCTAGTTGACTGTTCCGAGAGAGATCAAGTGCTATATTCTCAAATTGACATTGTCCATTCTGGAAAATTAATTAGTGATGGAAACTATGAAAATCATGTGTTGATAGCAAATAATAATAAATCGTCATTTTCAAAATGGAAATTAAGATTTTCAGTTTATTGGGATTACAAAACAAATCTTCGGTTAAAAAAGCTTGAACCAGTGATCAAATGCAATAATAATGACACTATTATTCGAAAAAATGAACAATTGCCATCGATGAAATTTATATTTCATGCTTCTGATTGTGAATTACATCAAACTGTCAATGGATTTCAATGTCCTTGGTGCACTATACTTACCTTTAACGATTTTATAAGCTTGATGCAACACTTATACACTACTCACATACATTTCAAATATAAGGTAAAGTAAGTAAATTTATTATTAAAATAATTTTTTATTACATAATCATTGATTTTTCTAATTAATTATTTGTAGCCATTTAAATCGAACGACTATAGAATAATAATGGTGACTGCAAATAATAAACATACAATTTTTGATTATTTTACAATGAACAAAAAATTAATTCCAAAGCCTTTTGCATATATAAAAGAAAAAGTTACCGAAACACCATCCATATTAAAACTGTCAAAAAAAACCTTTTATCATTGTTATTCATTTATGCCTTACAGAAAGAATACAAATAAATTGGAGCTTGAGGATAAAATTTGTAGACATTGGTTGACACAACAAAACAACGAGGTGATTTTAAAGTGATTTTTTGATAATTAGAATTTTCTATATTAATTAACATGATCTATACATATTTAGGAATTGGATGAAAAAATTAATGTTAATGATGGTACAAAACTTTTAATGAAACTGTGGAATGAATTTATAGATCCACAAATGTAAAAATTATTTTTGTTTTATTATTATTCTAAAAAATAATTATTAATACTAATATATATATATATAATTCTCTCATGAATTTCATGTTTATAGGTCTTCATTTTATAAGGGACATTCAGATGAAAACTTGCCAAATCTTATTAGAGAATTTTCAACTTCATATAAGAAGCGAATAGTAGAACAAGATTTGATTTTTGATTTTACAAATCATTTATATAAACTTAATGAACATAACCTTATTGATGATAATTGTGTGGTTGATTGTTTGAATCTAGTTAATTAATTATATGAAACAAATTAATATGAAAGATTTATCTTTTTTATCATTTGACTAGAGTATATATATATTTCAGTTGATTATATTTATTTTTAAAATTCCATAATTACAAATAATTTACAAAATAAATATTGTCTGTGAATAAAAAAATGTTTATAATTTATTTTAAGCAATTCCCAAAATTATATCATGATTTTTGTGCAAGTTCTTACTCTATTGTTATAAAAATCAAATTATCTATGATTTGGCACCTTTTTGCTTTGATTCTTGGATTTTTCATTATCTCCCATATTTATAAATGTCAAATTGCCATTTTGCCCTTTGTATCACAGTTTTTCATGGTAATTAAATAGTTGTCGAAATTACAAAACTCTTTAATCTAGTAGTTCATAAACAATTTCGACAAACAACTATACTTTGTATCAAGTTTAAAGCTTTGAACGCTTGAAATTTATCACGATTCGGCAGACCATGAAATAATTGAATATGTAATTATAAAAGTAAAAAGTAAAACCATAAAACTATAATAAATTGTATAACATATTTAAAAATTATATATATAATCAGTCAGTGTTTTGGCAATATTTGTGCTTTTAATAAACCCATTTTAGGTTCTAAAATATACGTTTGCTCAGATAATTAAACAAAAATACAAAACATCTTTTATTCATTTTGTTTGAATTATTCGTTTTATTTAGAAACCCCAAGTTGAACAGGCTCGAGTTAAAACTTGAATTTTCAAGTTCGAACCGAGTTCAATAAAATAGGTCCTTTAAATTGGTTTTTAGGCAATGGTTTGCATAAATAAGATAAAAGTATTATGAAATTAATCATACCTGAAAGAAAAAATTTATGTAGCATCAAGCTCGAAAATTTGAGCTTCAACTCGAGCTAGCTCGGCTCGTCTGGAACTTTAATTAGATGGTTCGAATTCAAAATTTTAATTTTTTTACTAATAAATTTATTATTTATTAAGATATATTGATGAACACGCTACTCCAACTTGTTGATGTTATAAAAAAATGAAAACATTTATTTTTTTGACAAAAATCATTATTTTGGTGTTAAATATTTGCAGTATGTCCAAAATTACAAATGACGCTAATGATTTTATGAAAGATCCTATAATAATAAGGATTGTTATTGGCAACAAGTATTTATATTAAGATTTTACTTGATAATAAAAGTGCCTGGGAAAATTTATACAGATTCTTTATTTTTTATTTTCAAAGGAACGCGGCAACAGAAACTATTAAACAAAAGCTTGCTTATGTTGGACAAGAAGAGGGTAAATTGGTATCGGTTTGTCAGTTAATACAAGAAGGCTTAAAACCACATGTATGGGCGTTTGTTCAATCCATTGAACGTGACAAAGAGCTATTTCATGAGTTAATGTATGATGATATGAATTATGATGTTATATATTCTGAAAGAACAAAGCTCAAGTATTATATGCATGCGCTCGATGGTTATTTTTTTTATTCAAATAATTATTAAAATATTTATTTTTACTAGAGATGAGCAAGCGTATAGTTATGATACGTATAGTACGCATAACTAGAATGACGACACTTGTTGATATAAAGACTCGCCTTTTTGGTATTATTTTCTTCTATTATTTATTTTTTACAAGACGAGGAAATGTTATCTGATATGGTTCTCCTAAAGAAGACATGTTATTTATTGACGGCGATAGGTACATAATTTTTTATTTGTATTATAAATGTATTGATGTGTCTTTTATTTTATATTATTGAAATCAAACCTTGTAACAGAACTTGTCTGCTTAGTAATTACATAGAAAATTCCTATCACAATAATAAACGATTAGCATCAGTTTTACTTTTCGTAATAATATTAATATTAAATATATAATCACAAGAGCTGTTGCAGACAATATAAGAAAATAATGGCGCTTCACAATACAACATTATTTGCATTACAAACAATAAATGTGTTGTTTATCATGATTCGCATATCTTTACCAGCTTCTTATCTCTCATTGAAAACATTTATAAAATAAAAGGCTTCGTCTACTTCTACTTTCTATCTCTAGCATCTTATAAGCACGTGTTTCACGGAGATTGAGTCCTAACTTCAAAATGTTTTACGTTATTTACATTACTGGCCTGACAATGCTCATTCATCAAGGAAAAATACATCAGGAAATGAATATTTCCTTTCATACCGTTGAACATAATTTCGAAATGCCTAAAGAATGAGTACTATTGAACATAAGCAGGATAATGGCTGTCTGACCCAAGGTTTTATATACTTTTTTTCAAAAATAATCGGATTTCTTTTATTTTTTAATTGACAAAAAGTTCTAGAAAATATAGAATCATGTAATTTTGCGTTAGAATAATTATTAAAAAATTTCATGTCAAATTTTTTTATTTTAAATGAATCTAAATCTATTTAATTATGCTTTGCAATTGTGAAAGCCCACCTTCAATATTTGTTGAGATATTAATATGCAACTTTTTGTCACCAACATTATTTTCGTTACACGCTGTATAACGTTTAATTATCGGAAATTGACAAGTGTTGGAGCACATAGTTACCTTGATCATTTCATAGTCATTCTCTACATTTCTCATGTACACAAGGCTAACCTGACTTCGCCGACGATACAGCGATGTTGCTAAATTCCTGATTGGGTAGTATGGTCCTGGAGTTTGTCAAGTTTATCGAAGATTAATCGTTGTCAATGGTGCTTCGTAAATCTTAATCTTCTCTCATAGAATCTGAGCTGACGTTACCTGGATATGCATGCGGGCTGAAAGTTTCTTGCAACGATCCTACTTTTAGGATAAAGATGGGTGGTCATGTAACCAAGAAGACGCAACTCTGGAGATTGCAGCAGGCCGGGATAACACAAAGCAACCATCACATGAATGTTGACTCTCATCAGCGATCAATTCCAGCCAAGTCTGGTCTGAGGAAAAGATATGGGAAATTATAAAGCTTCCCAACATGTTTTCACCTTATCTGTGAAAAAAATCCGCAGTTATGGGAGCGTGAAAGCGTACTGTTGACTTGTTTGTGATAAGAAAATTTATTAAATCTGACACCTGTAATCAATGTCATTAGATTTATTATTATATTCATAAGGAAAAATAATCATCCAGTCAAATCCATGGCTCAATATTTATTTATTTATTTTTTATAATATGCGCTTGTTGAATTTATTTTGTGTATGTATATATATAGTAGTCAATTGTAAAATATATAAGTTGGAAATAAATAAACAACGACAAGATTTTAATTTATTGGGGTAATTCGTCTGGTATATTTAATTCAATCTGTTGAGAATCTAAAAAAAAATTTATCAAAAGAGTGGATATTAACAAATGTTGTAAATTTTAAAATTAACAAATGATTAAATGTTAATAATTACCACTATAATTTCCGATAATTGTCACTCTATTGGAATTCACGGGTTGGGGAAGGCTTGTAAATTTCAATAATCTGCTAGTGTAAACAGCATTTGGATGAATTGTTGCAGTAATTGTTGAAGGATCAAATTTTATTTCATCCATTTTATCAAATTCTTTTCTTAAATTATCAAAATCATAATTCCACTTTTGAATAATGCTAAAGACTTCTTCAACAGTTGGACGTTTATCTGGATTAGCATCCATGCACCTGTAAGCTAATTCAATATAGAATTTTGGTGTGTTGTTTGAAAATTCTGGTCTTACACCTTCACATATTCTCATTGCAAGATCTAGACCATGTGCCAAATTATTAAAAGGTTGTTGGCCAGTTGATACTACAGACATCAAAACTCCAAAACTGTATATGTCTGATGCTGGTGTATATGGTTTCTCTCTTAAAACTTCCGGTGCAACATATGGTAGTACTCCAAATATATCATTTTTATTTGACGATGCTTGATCTGTTGAAATTGATAATCCTAAATCTGCAATATATGAAGAGTTTGAATTTTGAAGAATATTACCACTATGAAAGTCATGGTGAACAATATTTTGTTTGTGAATATCTCTTAAACCATAAACTATATTTAATAGAATTTCAGTTTTCCGTTGCCATTTTAAATGTTTAAAATTTTTTGTTAAATAATTTTGAAGACTTCCATCACTTTTATAATCCATTACAAATATATACTCTTTTGTAGTTGGATCTTGTGATAGCCCATAAATACGAATTATATAATTTTTACCTTGAAACTTTTCATAATTTCTCAACTAAAGTAAAATGATTATTTAATAATAATATTTAAAAAAATCCAAAACTAATATTAACAAAATAATCTACCTCACTAAGAAATTCATCAGAAACATTCTGTGAATTATGTAATTTTTTTATTGCCACATGCATATCTTCATTAGCTCTTCCACCATTATCAGTTGTAACTTTGTTACCATTTAACCAAGTGGCTCTGTATATAGTTGCAAAACCACCTTCACCTATCTTTTCAATATTTGTTAAATTATTATAAGGAATCCATTGAAGATAGTAACAATAAGTGGTATCATAGATAGTTGCTTTAAGTTGTGTACTTTTAATCAACTCATCTATCATTTTATTACCACTGGTCCATCCTTCAGTTAATAGCTTTGGATCACATGATTGACACCATGAATGATTAGTATTATATCTATTGCAAGTTGGACATTTACCAAAATGTTCCTTTCTTTCCATTGAATATTTATCATCCGTAGAAGTAAAATGATGTTTATTTTCGTTTAAAGTGTTTTCCATTTTTAAAAGTTTTATTGATTTTTCCTTGATAATATTTTGGATTAGAAAAAATCTTTTTAACGTATGAAAACAACAGGATTAATTGGATTTTTTTTAAAAATGATTGGTAATTTTATCTATAAAAAGGATTTGCAGTCGTGATAAATACTCTCTATTGATCATGCATGATGTGATCTGAAAATCAACTTTTATTAAACTTGATTTTGGGAAGAGAATTTTCGAGAGATGTTAAATTGCAAATGTTCATTTTTTTTGTAAAATTGATTTGCATATCAATGAATGTATTTATTTTCTTCCCAAGGTCGTAAAACCTTTCTACTTTCAATGACACTTGATTGCCTTCCGTTTTTCTCTTGCCAGCCTTTTAACTTTTGCATGATTTTCTCTGCTATCTTTTTCCATGTTGTAACCAACACGAATTTAATAATTATTTACAAGAATCAATAAATATATTTTTTTGTCATGAAGATCCAAAAAACTACCTTGCAATATCATTATTTAACAAGAATAGAAAACTGTAAAAGTTTATTATAATATAATTTAGAAATAAAAAGATAAATAATTATAACAAATAAATTTATAGTGTAATGTATACTTTCTTTATTTTAATCAATCAAATTGCTAGTAATAATTAATGGATAGTAATTTCCAATTAATTGATAATGAAATTTTTATTCATGAAAGCTAAAATCAAAATTATTTAACGAACTGTCATTAATTGTATAACTTTTAAAGCTTTTTGATCTAGCAATCTCTTCATTCAATATTCTACTTGTATGGTATGCATCTGGATGTGATTTGTGTACTTGTTGCAAATCACTAACACCAAAACCAAAACCAAAACCAACACTGCTGCTGCTGTTACAATCACTACCACGAATTTCCATATGTTTATTATAAGCAAAGTTACTCAGCTCTCTACTAGTTGGTCTTTTTGATGGGTCCACATCCCAACACCTCTTCATCATTTGTACATAATCATCAGGCATTCCTGGCAATATTGGTGGTCGTAAACCTTCTTCACATATATCAAAAATTAAACAATGATTGTGAGCTCTATCATCAAATGGTGGATGACCTGCAAATATTTCCCACATTAACATACCAACACTATAGATATCAGATTCTTTTGTATTCTTTCTGCCCCTAAGTAGCTCAGGTGCAACATATGATACAATTCCATAGATTTTATCTGATGATTTTTCATCAACTGGTCCACACAATCCTAAATCTGTAATATAACAATTACCTCCTTCCAGAAGTATATTACCACTATGTAAATCACAATGGACTAAATCTTTTTCATGTATATCATCCAATGAAAAACATAAATAATCAATGATTGTAATTCTATCTTTTAATGTTAAATTTAAATGATTTTTTTCCAAATAATTCCTTAAATTTCCCTCTGGAACATAATCTAGAACAATTACATAATTTCCATTATCTGGGAATTTAGTTATACCATAACAAGGATTAATTCCTACTGATTTAATTTTACAATAATTCATTGCCTGAAATTGAATATAAATTTCAATTAATATTATTATATAATACAGTATTGTTTATTTTGTTTTGAATGATAATTACCAACCTCATCAAAAAAACCTTTTCCTGGATTACTTGAATCATTTAAACTTTTTAATACTACATCTCTCTCTCCGTGATAACTAAATTCCTTTTTATTTTCATCATAATCAATTATACACCCCCTTTTCCATGTAGCAGTATAAATTGAACTAAATCCACCCTCTGTTAACTTTGTTACTTTTTCAAATTGCTCAAAAGGTATCCATTCTATGATTCCAGTTGGCAGAGATGATTTCATTTGACATTGTTGAATAAAATCATCAATTATGTTATTTCCAGATGACCAAGTAGTGAAAAGGGTCTGTAGTTGTAAAGTAATACATCCTTCACAGATTCTATCAGAGTATCTTGTTGATTTACATTTGTTACATTCTTTTGGTTTACCCGATTTATATGTTACATTATTTAATTCAGAAGCATAAAGAAACCATTCTTTACAATATTCTTTTTCATTCTCAGAAAGCTCCTTGTTTTTTTTGATTAATGAAAAATAATAATCTTTTACACTTTCTATATCAGGACTCATTAGAACATTATTTGATATTTCATTACGAATTTTAATTACAAATCCCCTTTTTTCTGGTGGTATTAATGATAATAATTTACCGTGAGACATCATATAAAAATAAATATATTTATAAAATTTAAAATTTGACTTGACTCAATCTATTATTGTGTTTTATTGAATAGAGTGGAGAAAACAATGAAAGCTAAAATCAAAATTATTTAATGAACTGTCATTAATTGTATAACTTTTAAATCTTTTTGATCTAGCAATCTCTTCATTCAATATTCTACTTGTATGGTATGCATCTGGATGTGATTTGTGTACTTGTTGCAAATCACTAACACCAAAACCAAAACCAAAACCAACACTGCTGCTGCTGTTACAATCACTACCACGAATTTCCATATGTTTATTATAAGCAAAGTTACTCAGCTCTCTACTAGTTGGTCTTTTTGATGGGTCCACATCCCAACACCTCTTCATCATTTGTACATAATCATCAGGCATTCCTGGCAATATTGGTGGTCGTAAACCTTCTTCACATATATCAAAAATTAAACAATGATTGTGAGCTCTATCATCAAATGGTGGATGACCTGCAAATATTTCCCACATTAACATTCCAGCACTATAGATATCTGATTTTTTTGTGTTCTTTTTGCCTCTAAGTAACTCAGGTGTAACATATGATATAATTCCATAGACTTTATCTGATGATTTTTCATCAACTGGTCCACATAATCCCAAATCTGTAATATAACAATTGCCTCCATTCATTAATATATTACCACTATGTAAATCACAATGGATTAAATCTTTTTCATGTATACAATATAATCCATTGCATAAATATCTAAATATTGTAAATCTGTCTTTTAATGTTAAATTTAAATGATGGTTTTTCAAATGATCTCTTAAACTTCCATCTATATAATAACTTAAAACTATTGCATAATTTCCATTATGTGGGAATTTAGTTATACCATAGCAAGGATTAATCATTGGTGATTTAATTTTACAATAATTCATTGCCTGAAATTGAATATAAAATCAATTAGTATTATATAATACAGTGTATACAGTATTGTTTTAAATGAAAAATACTAACCTCATCAATAAAGCCTTTTCCTGGATTACTTGAATCATTTAAATTTTTTAACACCACAAGTTGCATTCCAAAATAACCAAATTCCTTTTTGTTTTCATTATAATCATTAATACTTCCTCTTGTCCATATAGCAGCAAAAATTGAACTAAATCCACCTTCTGTCAACTTTGCTACTTCTTCAAATTGCTCAAAAGGTATCCATTCTAAAATATAGCCTGGCAAAGATGAGAGAATTTGACATTGTTGAATAAAATCATCAATTATGTTGTTTCCAGATGTCCAGGTAGTGAAAAGGCTCTGTAATTGTAAACTAATGCAACCTTCACAGAATTTATCAGAGTATCTTATCAATTTACACTTGGTGCATTCTTTTGGTTTTCCTTTTTTATTCCTTGCATTATTTAATTCAATATCATAAATAAACTTTTCTATACAATACTCTTTTTTATTTTCAAAAAGCTCCTTGTTTTTTTGGACTAATGAAAAATAATAATCTTTTTTGCTTTCTTCATCAAAATTAACTATTGCATTAAACATTTCATTATGAATTTTATATACAAAATCCACTCTTTCTGGTGATCTCGATGATAATAAATCAATATATGACATTATATGAAAATAAATGTATTTATGAAATTTAAAATTTGGCTTTGGTTATTGTGTTTTAATAAATAAAGCGGAGAAAACGTTTTTTTTTTGTTTGGAAAATAATATTGGCCCATTTATTTATTCATTCGTTTATTTATCGTTACTATTTGATCGAATGACGTGAAACTAGGGTTTATAAAATTAATGATTCGAATAAATTTTTTAATCTGAATAAAATGAACGATAATAAGAATTATTTATCCCGTATCATTTATGTAATTATCCATTTTACTTATACTTACTCAAAAATAAACTTATATAATATAAAAAAAAATTGATATTTTCCAAAAACAATTCTAATTCCAAAATTTCTTTCATAAAATGGTAAAAAACCTAATTCGTTTTATTTTACTTGATTATTTGCTTTAAAATGTACTTATCAATGCTTTTAATTATAATAAAAGAATCCTCATTTTATAACTGCTTCAATGTTAATGAATCCCGAAAATTGCAACTCAATAATTAAAAGAATCCTTGACACGTACTATGTTTGTAAATCATATGATGTGGGACACATGTTAATTTTATGTAATTTATATATTAATTATCATTTATCCTCTGGGTGGTGCAAGTTATGTACTAGTCTGGCATAAATAACGTAAAAGTGCCACATCTATTTATTCACAATTATCTGGTATCCTTAAAGATTCTCCGAAGCTTTTTAGGTGGAAGAAAGTAAATCTGTAGACTTACCAATTGAATTATTGTGATCAATTGACAATAGTAGCTCAAAGTTAAGTTATGTTAAATAAATTGAAAGGCCATCCCGTCTTGCAATGTTACCATTTGACAAGAATTGAAAAAATGTAAAAAGTTTATTGCTTCAAAATATTATTATAGTTTAGCTTTAAGAAATGAAATACGAATAAAAAAATAACAAATAAATTAGCCATTCATTGATTCTTTCTTTTAATTACTAGAATCTAATGTAAATAAAAGGTATTGTTGGTAATAATTAATGGATAGATAGCAATTTCCAATTAATTAATAATGAAATTTTTATTCGCCCTTTGGCATTTAAGAAAAGAGAGTTAAAATCAAGAATTATCATTACTTGTATAACTTTTAAATCTTCTGGATTTAGCAATCTCTTCATCTAATATTCTACTTTTATGGTATGCGCCTGGATGTGATTTGTGTACCTGTTGCAAATCACTACTACCACTAGTAGTATTATTGCTACTATTAATATCATCAATATTATCACAAATTTCTTTCAATTTACTCTCAGCAAAAATAAAAAGCTCTAGAATAGTTGGTCTTTTTGATGGGTCCACATCCCAACACCTCTGCATCATTTGCACATAATCATCAGGCATTCCAGGTAATATTGGTGGTCGTAGACCTTCACATATATCCAAAATCAAACGATGATTGTGAGCTCTATTGTCAAATGGTGGATGACCTGCAAATATTTCCCACATTAACATCCCAAC